TGGTTACATCTGTGCCCAAGCTGCTGCTGAGGGCCATGTCTGGTGTAGATGTAACCAACCGTCTTATTAAATAAGAAACATAGAACCAATGCAAAGAAGAAAGCCAAGAGGTCAGAGCTAAAAGCTAAAACCTTACCTTTCCTCTCCAAACCAGAGCTACTTTCTGTGTTAAAGTATTTATATAGAGTTTCTGTTCTGCCTTCTTATTGGTTGTAAACCCAACCACATGACCACCTTGTCATGGCCTGTCTGTAAAGACCTCCAGGTTTTCTATGGTTGGTATTGAGATTAAAGGCATGTGTATCCAATACTGGCTGTATCCCTGAACACACAGAGACTTACCTAGTTCTGCCTACCAAGTGCTGGGATTACAAGCATATGCCACCACTGTCCTGCTTTCCTATGGCTTGCTAATAGCTCTGACCCCGGGCAACTTTATTTATTAACATACAAATAACATTTTAATACAAATAAAATATCACCATAGTCTGGGTCCATGGTTCTGCCACAACTGGGGTCTACGTTGATGTTCATTGTCCATGTTACTACAGGGTCCTATGTGAACCATGTGTTGAAGTTCAAGGGCCTCGCTGACCTGGCCTTGCCCCTCACAGGCCTGGGGAAATCCAACCCCCTTCACTGGAGAGCTACCTCTCTCCCTCATAGACCCCGGGATAACAGACCCCAATGACCCCAGCAAGGAAAATCTGGCCCTGCCCCTAATAGGAGAGTTCCCACACACTTGGGAAAGATGGCCCCATCCCTTACCATAGGTGTAGAAGAGCTGGCTCCACCTCTCACTTGAGAGAAATGGTCCCAGAGCTCAGTATGACCAACTCAGCATCCACCCAGGTACACATCCAGGGTTTTAAGGTGGCACATCCTAACATCTACCCCATCTATGACCTGCTGGAGTGTGTGAAGGGACTGGTCCTGCAGAGCCATCACTGCATGGTCTACATGACTTGGGGCAACAAAAGGATGTCCAGGGAGTTTCTGTGGGGATCCAGTGTTAATGGTATACCAAAAGTCAGAGATCCTGAACCTGACCAACAGCATATTACACTATGAACGTTTGCAAGGAAATCTGTTTGGAAAAAAGTGTGTTCTGTGTGGTACAGAGTGGCTCCCAATGCCACTAGGACCAATAAGGAGGCAATGGAGAGGGAAAGGCTGAGGAGCGAAGTGGTATTTTGTTGGTTTGTTTGTTTTGTTTGTTTTTAATTGAAATTGATACCCTTATTTGTATTTATCTATTTTTTAAATTATTTTTCTCCTTTTTTACTTTTATCTTATTTTTACTATTTCTTTGTTAGGTTTTTTTTTTTGAGGAGACACTGTAGTGGTGAAGTGTGGATGAGGAGAGACTGGGAGATGGGTGGGATTGGGGTGCATGATGTGAAATTCCCAAGGAATCAATAAAAAAATAAAATATTAGATTAAAATATCTAAAAAAAAGAAAAAAGAAACTATACCCCTTTTCTAAAAAAAATCTCAATAATGGCTAAACTACAATCTACTATCTAAATTTATAAGAAACAAAATCAAAGGTGTAAAATGAAACATTAGGAACAGTATTAAAATATAGGACTTATCCCAAGGACACATGGCATCCTGTACAATATCTATTCACAGGACACACAGCTGAAAAAGGGACTACATTACCTTTTCAGCCATATAGATGTGAGGTCAGAAGTACAGAGGAGAAAAAGAAGGGGGGAGAGAGAGAGAGACAGAGACAGAGAGGCAAAGACAGAATAAGAGGAAAGGAGAGGGAAAAATAGATATTTGGGAAAAACAGCAGCAACAATGCCTGAAATCCAACAAAAAATGGAGACATCTTCATGGAGTCAGGCTCATGCTGTTAGTGCTATACTCAAGAGGAAAGAATTACCAGGCTTGCTTCTTAGATTTCCAATAGAGGAGTCTAACTACTGTACTTTCCCTACAAGCTCCCATTTCAAAGTCTGTGACACAAATAGTTTCACATCAAAAAGAGCTGGTGCACCCTCCCCAGTCACACTACAACATTGCATAGACAGAGCTGTCAGGGGTCTCAGAACCAAGGGAGAGCCAATGACATGCCCACATTCCTTATTTTACACTCTGCTTCTGAGGACCCAATCATCATGCAGAGGAACCACAAAGCCCCCAATGGACCAGATGTGATGCTTAAATGTAAATGCAACTATAGAAGAAAAAGGCCAGAGAGACAGGAGAAAGTCCCAGAGGTGAGCTCTCAAAAGCATCAACGCTATCTGTCTTCCCAACTTGGAGTCAAGTGCCGCCATTGCAAATTGCCCTGGCCAAGGCACTGATTCCGTGCCACTAATGGCTTGAGCATCTGCAGTTGTAATGTCTTTTGGGAGAGTGACTACTGAAAGGGCAAGAAATATATCAAAACTCTGGTCCCACTGACAGGTACCTCCTGAAGCAATATCATTCCAGAATTGTTCTGCCACAGACAGGAACATCAAACCAACAGGGAGTGACAGAAGGGCAGGATCAGATGTAAAGGTTTTTAATGAGAAACTGGGAAACAATTCTGGAATCTCAGGCTCAGGGTTCTGAAAGAGTGTCTCTGTTTCCTGCCACCATGCCTGACATCATAGATCCAGTCTAGTGGGATTTTCAACAACTTTTTACAAAACACCTGTTAAGTACCATCTAAAGTGCTTGGTCAGCATTCTAGACTGCCTAGAATGAGCCCTATGGCAACTTGCAAATAGGTACCCATTTACCTCTCAACTGGTAAATCATGATAAGTTTGCACCTAACAACTGTTTGACATGCCTAGCATGCCTTTCAGATGGAATTACCGAGAACTGACAAGACTTCTGCTACAGAACTAGAATTGGGCACCCAAATAGTAAGAAATGATAATCACTTGCAATTTTATTTCAGGAGATGTAAGCTGAGTTCCAAAATTATGGTTGAGAGACAACTGCAAGAGATACAAAGGGTGGTTCTGTTGCAGACTGACAGCTTGGGGAAAAGTCAATCTCCCAATTAGAATGCCTCTCCCATGTTTATAAGGGGAGAACATTGGTGTCTACCAGAGGGCATTGAAGCTTACTCATTATCAGAGCAGAGGGGGGCCAGGCATTGTTTCTGTAAGACTGACCATGAACTAACAAACTCCAGTACATTTCTGATCTACTCTGCCATTCTTAAGCTTGCATTCTCACAGTCAAAAGCTCAGGGCAGAGCTGAGGTTCTGAATCCCTTTTCCTTCGCCAGAGAAAAGTTGGTTGGATAATTGGGATATCTGTGTTTTCCTTCGCCAATGTACTCAAAACCCCTCCCTTCCCATGTGGTCCCTCCATAGTCATTGTTTGTTTTTATTTAATTTTAATATCCGGGTAGTTGAGTTTCATATTTGGCCATAGAGGGTTCTGCAGAGTGTAGAGAACTCTGTCTACCTTTTCAAAGCTGAGTCCTTCAACTGGCACACTGGCCTTACACCACATCTTATGCATTAAAGCAGCAATAGCATCATTCCAAAATCAAGAGACTGGAGCTATGGCCCACAGAAGAGTAACATTAGGGATTGGTTTGAGGGAGGGGACACCTACAGCTCCAGAGGAGGAGCAGGATACTCATGTGTTTTGGTCAACCTCTGACTTGCGATGGTTGGATGCCACCTGCCTTTCTCTACTCAAACTCTAAATGAAGCCTGAAAATGAATAGTTTGTCCTTCGTCAGAGCCTTCTGGAGCTCTCTTTTTGCCTAGCTGTTGCCAGGCTCACCGAGGACCACATCTTCCTGTAAAGAATGTCAAAAAGGACCATCTTTAATCCCACCACTCAGGAGGCAGAGGAAGGCAGATCTCTGTGAGTTTGAATCCAGCGTGGTCTACAAAGCAAGTTCCAGGACAGCCAGTGTAATGAGCATAGTGAAAAATGTCTTTTGACATGTAAAAACAGCTTAGTCACGAACCCCACTGTACCCAAGGCACCTGATAACCAGAACCCTGTGACATCACTCACTCAATATAACCAGATACAGGCCTAGAACCCCATGATACCCACAACCCCATGATGCCCACTGAACAATGTGTAAGCAATGACCAAGAGCATTGCTCTGCTCTGCACGTCCGGAGAGACATCACCTTGATTTGCCCTGGAGAGTCCCCGCCCTGGGATCCTGACACTCGAATCAGAGACTTCTGTTAGAGACTGGACCTGACCTTCAGCTAAGATATGGTGTATAGGTGATCAGGTGTATTGGGGAGATAGGCTCAGGACAGTAGTTAGGAATTTAGAGTGTGAACCTTGAGTGATGATCATCAGCATAATAAAATATAACTTTTGGTATACCAACTACACATATCTACCTTCTTGCTCGAGGCAGTTGTCTTAGTTGGCATGATTTCGGAGAGACCTTGATTCAAAAACAAGCAAAACTGTCAGAAGGTTTTTAAGGAGGCCTCAGTTGACCTGGAGACCCCAAAGTCCTGTCTGCCCTTCTCACTGCACTATTTCTTGGGAAAACTTTTGTGCCAGGGTGTCTGCAGTGCATGAGGAATTTGAGCGCTGACAAGGGGCAGCACCTGTGTGTAAGAGCTGACCCTTCTCTCCTGGGCTCCCCACTCCCAAGCCTTATATTCAAATTTAAGTAAATGTTACAGTGGTCCTTCTACCTCTTCTGTCTTGCAAGCTGTCCTGCAGGGACTTTCCAGTCAGCCCCCTTGCGGGACCCCCACCCTTCACGTTCTTTAATTGGGAGACAGAAGCGAGGCCTTTTGACTCTCCTTGATGCAAACCTGTTAGCGGTACCCCTCTCCCCCTACCCACCCAAGCTGTCTCCAGGCCCTGGGACTGCGGGAAGTCTTTCGTTTTTTATCACCTCTAGACCTTCTCCTCCATCACAGTGGACGCTTGACGTTTTGGCTTCCTACCTCTCTTTCACTGCACCTCACTCCTGGCTGTGTCACCCCTAGTGGCCGCGCCTCCTCTCTATCTCTTTAAGCCGGTCCCGCCGCCGCGCCCCTCCCTCACCCGTTGCCTCCTCTGCTCCTCACGCCTCTGCTGCTCCTCCTCCCGCTCCTCCTCCTCCTCTTCCTAGGCTCCTCCGCGTCGCTGCCGGCCCGCTGCGCGCTCTGCTCTTCCAGCTCCGCGGACCGCAGCAGCCATGGCCGACATCAAGACCGGCATCTTCGCCAAGAACGTGCAGAAGCGGCTCAACCGCGCGCAGGAAAAGGTCAGCAGAGGGCGGCGGGCTGCGGGGCAGGTGGCGCGGGGCGGTGCTGGCGCCGATGGCGGTGCTGGCCTCCAGCAGGCTGCGCGCTGCAGGGCCGCGGGTCCAGGTGCGGCGAGCTGCGGAGCCCGGGCGGGAGTAGGGTGGAGGAGTCCCTGTCTCTGCGCCCGGTGATTGCAGCTGGGCAGCATCCATTCAGGCAGCGTGGGCACGGCCGGCAGTGGGTACGCCAGCGACCTGCAGACTCCCCCCAGGCAGGGAGTGCGCCAGACCACTGGAACCCGCTCAGGGTGACCACTATCCTGGGCACGCCTCCGGGGACTAGGGGTGGCAAGTGCAGCTGCTCTCTGGCTGCACCCCGAGAGGACTGCATCCCCTGGCTCCTCCATCTCTCCGCGCCCGCACCTCCCGAGCTCAGGCTCTCCCGCACGCAGTTCAGGCGTCCGTGGCTGCAGATGCGAGAGGGAGATTGTCGCATCCCGTCTTCCTGGGTGGGGGTGTTGTGGCTATTTGAGTGAGGTCGAAACGAACGACTTAAGCAGAGAAGATATCCAGATGTGCATGGACCAATGGGACGGATAATAAACAACCAACACCTTCGTACAGTGCTCAACTGGAGTTTCAGAGAAATGCACACTTTCCCCCTATGAATCCGTGTCCTTTTTGAAGCCAATGCCCTCTGGAAGGTCAAAAATAAATAACCCCAACCTCAGAGTTCTGCTTTGCACATTCTCTGCACAAAATACTTGTTTCTCTGCTTAAGGAGAAGCAAAACAAAACCCACTCCTATCAGAGGGGCTGGGATCTCAGTTGTTTTGCAAGCTCCGGAGTAAATTAGCCATTGTAAATTATGGCTTTTCCCAAGGGATGTGCACAAACTCAACCCAGATCCATAGCAAATCCAGCTCTGGGCAGTGGGCGGGGGGGGGGGGGGGCGTATTTTACAGGCACCTGGGCTCCCCAGCTTCCCTGATTGCTATATCTGACCCCTTTGAGGTCTTCACTTGTCCTGAGCAAAAGGCATTTTATATTGGATCTTGAACGTAGTATTTGAGCATGAACCTGGGCTGGTGATCCTGGGGTCAATCGAACTGCATTTGCTTCACATGACATTAATTTCTGTTCCTGGGATGAGGGTGTCTGGTGTTTCCTGTCTTTCTGGAAATCAGATTTTCCATGTTTCTGACTTTGACAACACTTACCCAAGTTCAAGCTGCCCCCAGTTAGAGCAACCCCCAGAGCTCAGTCGGGGAGCACTGAACTCTGTGGGTCCCCAGGCTCAGTGGTTGCTTATAGTCCCTCCTTCTCCCCCCACATCCCCGCACACATGCACCCTCCCGGTGCTATACAGAGGATTGTATTGCTTTTAATATCTACTGAAGCTCACCCTGAACTCCAGGATCCTCCTGCCACTCCCTCAGAAGCTGAATTAGCCAGACAACTTGTCCCCTTCCATCCCCTCAGTGCTTGTCCAGAAAATAGTCAGATGTCAGATGTATGCCATCCTCGAGATTTGGACGAGACATTGTCGTCATTTTTCCCCATTTCATTTCGCCCACTTGTAGTCACCCCTCCCCCTAAAATAATCACTTGAATCTTTCTCTGAGGCCTTTCACTGAGTCGGCTTTCCATCTGTTAAGTAATTTTGTGATATGGTCTGCCTTTTCACATATTAATCTAGGTCACCAGCTGTTAATATGTTCCAAATGAATGAAGGAGATTGCAATCTTTTATGACAGAGCATCCTAACCAGTATGAACTGTTGAAAACGCATTTCTTCATGTTTAAGGCTAAATGCATGTTATGCTGGCAGTTGTCAATGGGATCCACTCTTCTTTAGCTGGGAGTTCAAGGGTCCTTTCACGGGGCTTCAGTTCTCTTATTTTCTTCCCTGGGACCATTGCTTATGCACTGTACCTGCTGTCCTAGTGCAGGGAATTCAGACACCAAGAGGCTGAGAGGAGGGTTCTGTCCTGCCTTTGAACCTGGGCAGCACTGGAGTGTGGTTGGCACAAGGGGCTGCAGCCACCCAGCAAAGCCTAGTTGGCAACTGTGCTGGATGAAATTTCCCGGTTGGTCCCCTCTTTTCTGCTTCCTTGGTCTCTTCCTTCCCAGTGCAGGACTCTCCATTTCACCAACTGGCTAACACACATGTTCATCAGCCCCTTTGCTCCTGGCTTGGATAAAGCAGATTGTGTTAAAGAAGGTTGATTTTCTTCTCAGCTCGGCTTCTAGTGGCTTGAGCACAATTTGGCTGCAAGTGCCTGACTGAAATTACCCTTAGAGGTGACTTACAGCTTTCTACAAATTTAAAAAAATACGGTATTTTTCTTACTGAAAGTCAGTCAAAGTTCACTGAAGGAAGAATTAAATAGACATGTAAGCAGAAATTAAACCCAACAGGTTAGGAATCTCAGTTCTGCCCTCTAGAGATTTTACTATCTTCGTTTCTCAGCCTTGTGGCTAAGATGAAGTGCAGAGATTTTACTATCATCTGATGCGTAGTCTACTAGACTTTCCACATACAGGTGCCGACGTTTATACAACTGAACAGGCTTACACTGGACAGCTGGCTAACCTATTTGTTTCATTTAAGAATGTGAAATGCCTTCTATCCATGTTCATAGTTTACAACAGCACATAAAATGACTGAATATAATTTTGGAGCATACAGATGAATGAATTCTGCTTTTGGATATTCATTTCTCAATGTTTCTTTACATAAATGCAAGCCAGTAATACTAGGAAGAATATTTACCCACAATTTTAATTATGACCTTAAGTCAATTTCTAAAAATAATTATGCATATTTTTATTATGGCTGAATTGCTTCCTGACTATTTATACCTTTTTTTTTCCTTTCCAGCAGTCGATCGGACACTAGCCAACTCTAAGTAATAAATTTAGCTGTATCATGGGGAAAAGTAGTTTATTATTAATATCATTTGTTTATTCTTTGAAAACGGAGCTGTTACATACCCATTTATTTTCAATTTATGAAACTTCCTGTTTTCACTCCTTAACTACAGTGTCTCCATTTTGTTATATGTAGGGGTAACAATGCTACTAATTTTAAGGCTTTTCTATTTACTTTTTAAAAGTTATTTTTATGATAATGACAGTCTTTGTGTTTATGTTAAGATGCATATATTTATCAGTTGGGTCGCATGGCTTTTCTTTTGGGTGGATAAGTCAGGATTCTGTCAACTATTAGAAAACTCAAACCAGCTTAAAGAAAAGAGGAATTTAATAACTCACAATACAACTAGATAATAACTTTATTTGAATCTTGCACATAGATATTTAAATGATTTTACCATATTAACATGTAAGTATTAAGCTATATGCCTATGCATTCTTGTACATACATAAATGCATGTATATGTATATGTGCATTATACATATTAAATTATTTAATTAACTCAGGGACCTTTACTACTCCAATTTTGTAGATGACAAAAAGGTTGATGACACAATTAACTCATTGCAAATCTGAATTGCACCTGAGCAGTCCAGTGCTTGCCCATTGTGCTCCATGGTATTGCCTGTTTCGATTAGGACCAGACAAACTTGAGGCCTCCATGGAATCAGGGCTCAAGTGTCGTTCTACTTACTTCTCTTGGTGGCTCCGGAAAAGCACATGCTTTTTCTTCAGAATTTCCATACAATTTTTTTTTTTTTTTTGGCGGGGGGGAGTAGTACTCATTGGCCTCAATGGATCTTGTATCTATCTCTAAAAGAGAAAACTTCCTATTAACTTAAAGACCAATATCATAGTCGGATTGAGCCCGAGTCACACACCATTGCTAAAATAACTGGGGATTGAGAGGCCCCTTGAACTATGTGGACTCACAGTGGAAGAAGGAAGAAGTTTAGAGCAGAAGGTGCTAGGCTATCAGAATAAAAGCTGTCACTGAAGGATCCCTAAGGGGCCTTTTCCTTCTCAGGGTTATGTAAATAACCACATATTTAATCACTAACCGTTTAATATTTATAATTCTCATCACATTAATGTATCTATTGCTTTAGCAAAATAAATATTAGTAAGAAGTACTTAGCTGTGTCTGTCCTGTCCCCCTCAACCTCTAGCTTTGCTTCATAGAGGCAATTCATACTAATCACAAGATTTCCTAAAATTATGTTTCTACAGCTCAATATGGGCTTAACCACCCAAGTATTTGATAGTGATAGATAAGGACTCAAGTCATTTGCATTCATCTCCTTACTTCCCCTTCCCCATCACATGCTATAACAAAAACAGTAACAAATTCAGCTGGTGAGTATCTGCGTATGGCTATCTGCACGGTGCCTCCAGATCAAGTGGTTTACTGAGTGGTTTATGTCATTCTAGACACTGATCTGTCCTCTTGTTTTTCTAGTTCTTTGTCTTTTTGTGTTCAAGCTTTCTAATTCCCTCGGTGTTGATTCTGTTAAGAGAGCCTATTCCTCAGTTGCCAATTATTTATTGGCAATTTTGTTTATTTCCTTTAGGGACTTGTTTCTTGAAGTCTGTTACTTGTCTTTTCTTTGTACGGCTTATATTTTTCTTGTTTTATGAAATCTCTTTGTATATAAATGTATTAACCTGTTGTCATATTTTGTGATTATTTTCTCCCCTACATATGCCCACCATGCCAAGCAGTAAATATATCACTCTAAAGGAGACTTAAGCACCACGCTTGTTCTATTTTTGTTAAATTACCCTAAGGATTTATTTTGCTGATTGTTTCCTTTGCTCGTCTATGAAGGTATCATTCAACCTATAATAATTCTTATGTGTCCCTTCCATGATGGAAACTTTGTAATTATTGGATTGAACTGTGTGGACTTTCCATTTTATAAGTCAGTCAGACTTTGACAAGCTCAGGTGGATCTTCCCAATGTCAACTGAATGAAAGGAGAAGAAAAGGAAT